ATTAATAACACCCCCATCTACACAATGGTCCACCAACTAAAGTATTAGTAACACCCCCATCTACCCTCTACCTGTTGCATCCTAAGTGGCTGGCTCCTTTTGCCTTCCCCTAGTCTGGGTTCCATTCCTTCTATTTTGCTGTGGTCTGTACCCCCACCAGTTTCACTGCAATCCTCCACTCCAACTGGCCCCATACCTGTCCGTGCCAAGGAGGGGACTGATGGTTGAGATGGGACTGGGTGGGGCAAAAGAGTTGCCCAGAGTTCCATTCCTCAGTGGTGTCTCGGTACCATACGTCTGTGTAGTTAGGAGAGTTGGGTTCTTGGGCTCACTGTCCTGGGTTCGGGGTCCAGCCACAGCTGTTCGAGCCACAGATTCAACATAGCTCCTGGGCTCTGCAAAAGACAACGGAATATTATTAAGCAGAGCACGTGACAAAGCAAATCAGACAAGACATTGGAGTTAAAAATGCCTAGCCTAGTTTGCCTCCTCTTTACCTCTGATGAATATCAGCAAATGGGGAGAAAGGCTTTGACACAGATCTTTGCAAAACCCCAAACTGAAAAACAGGCACACGGATTAAACCTTCCTTGTGTCATCGGCCTGCCCCATACTCTTCCCCCTCAATTTATGAAATCTAGGAAGCTCCCACAGAACTACTAGACTCATCCCATTTAGCATATTTCTACTGAACTGACTGGCTTCAAGAAAATCAATTTAATAAAGTGCTTGCTTTGTGCAGGGCACTGAACTGGTCACTGAGAAGGTACAAAATTTAGGTAAAACCCAATCCCAGCCTTTCGAGTCTTATGGTCTAGTAGAGGGATCTAATAGCTCTATACACAATTTAACTATACACAATTACACATGCCAAGTGCTTAGGCCATGCCCAAAGCCACTAAGGCCTGGGCTTCCACAGATATGAGTAGCCCTTGGGCATGTATATTCCCAACATATATGCCTCACTGCCTACTCTTTCCCAAAGACACAGCATGCATTGGTAAGAAAGTGTACCCCAGGTTTATAGATATAATGCCATAATTATTCTTGCTTTGCCTTCTGTTTAATAAATATTTAGACTAAGAAAAAAATAGGCATATTGCAAATTGTTGCATGAGGTTTCAGGATGGGGAGAGTCCATTACAGATTAGAGAGACTTTAAAGGCTGAATAAACTTAACATGCAAAAGGGAAGAAAGGATGTTCCAGGCACAGGAACAGTGGGAGCAAAGGGTCACAGCTAGGGAAGGTACGGGGCATGTTCAAGGGAAAGAAACGAGTCTGCTTAATAGAGGACGAGAGTATGAAGAGAGGAGTAATAGTATAGAAATGTAGGGTGGAAAGTAAGGTAGCCCCAGATTACAAAGGCTTTAAATGCCTAGCAAGGAAGTTTGAGCCTTACTCATGACACAATATGGCACCATGGAAGATTTTTGAGCAGAGCATTGTTGAGTCCAGATCTATGAATAAGGAAGTTCAATCTAGCAATGGGAGAGCGAATGATTTGGAAAGGGAGAAAGTGGAGTTGGGAAGACCTCTTAGGAAGTTATTGCAATAGTCCAGGTGGGTGGTAATGAGTCCTTGCTACACTATGGAGGGTGCAAGAAGTACAGAAGGAGAAACATTCAAGAGATACCAGGGAGGTGGACTCCACAGCATCCTGTAACTGTGTCGCTCCACATGAAGCTACGAGGGATATGCCAGGCCATCCCTCTAAAATTCTCCACAAGCGCTTGTCACTCTCCAGGTTAGAAATAAGAACAAATGCCCACCACGGTCCTTCTCCTCTTCTTCCTGCCCCTACGTATTATCCTCTACAGGCTCTGTGGCTCCTCCTCCCCATGATCCCAAAGTCCATCCTTGGTGATAAAGGCCAGAAGAGAACACAGGACAGATCAGGGTTTGAACAGTTCTGGACATCCAATTCAACAAGAAGCATGCACTAAGTGCCTACTGTGTATCAGGTACCATGGTAGACAATGGAGATACAAAGGAAAAAGACAATGGAGATACAAAGGAAAAAGGAGGACAAGTCCCTTGCCCTCCAAGCCATGTATACCACTATGGACAGTTTTTCCTCTGGTCACCTGCAGTGTATTCTGGCTCCAAAGGGAAGTTATGGAATCTAGACCCAACCTAAAGGTCAGCTAGGTGGTGCAGTGGATAGAGTGACAGGCGTGGAGTCAGGAACACTCATCTTCCTGAGTTCAAATCCGGCCTCAGACAATTACTAGCTGTGTGACCCTGGGCAAGTCACTTAAGCCTGTTTGCCTCAGTTTCCTCATCTGTAAAAGTGAGCTGGAGAAGGACATGGCAAACTGCCCCAGTACCTTTGCCAATAATGGGATCACAAAGAGTCTGACACCGCTGAAAAACAACTGAACAACAACAGCAGGTCACCTGCAGTGCACTCTGACCCCAAAGGGAAGCTACAGAATCTAGACCCATCCTAGAGGTCTTTAAAGGCAGGAGATATACCCATCTTTCTGTCTAACACACTCAGCATTCCTCCAGAAACCTAAATCAGGAAAACCTATTTCCACGAGAAGCAACCTCAAAGGATGATGGAAAGGAGGACAATCTTCTATCAGTTCTTGCATTGATCTTGTATTAGACACAACCTACTTTGTGGAGCTGATCCAAGACAGTGAAGAGAAAGGGGTCATAGAATTCTAGATGTTAAAGCCGAAAAGAACAAGAAGCCGTCTAATCCAACCCCTCCAATTAACAGATAAGGAACCTGGGGCCCAGAGAAAATAAGTGGTTTGTACAAGGTCACATAGGTAGTAAGTGGCCAGACTGAGATTTGAACCCAAGCCCTCTGACTTCAAATTCCATGCTCTTGCCTCTTCCTGTCTGCCAAATGTTCCCTGAACACCTCCCTGTGAAGGCAGGTGAAATGAATCCCTCCTTTATACCAACAGGGAAAATCAGGCAGCCAAACAACCTGCTCTAGAGTCTGCAGCACAATCCATGGGGATGAGCCCTCCCCATTGTTCTCCACTGCCATGCCACCTTCCTCTTCCACTGCAATCTCCTCGCCCCCTAACACCCACACGGATACCAGCTCTCCATCCACAAACAGTCTTGAGGCACTTACAAAGGACATGGGAGCCTAGATGAGAGACCAAGACCCTCTTACCCCTGGGGAAGAGCAGGAAAGACCCTTCCATTGGTAACTTCAGCACAAAGGCCAACCCCAAGGTAGCCAACCCACAACTGACCTGAGCAGGCCAGAGCCCAGGACTACAGAGCTGTGGTGTTTGCCTTCAATGGGAGAATCTAGCCCCACCCTGAGTGTGCCCTTCCCCTTTTCTCCTCCCCCAGACTCCTCCTCTTGCTTGCTTCTCACCTTTCTTCTCTTCCCCTACTTATCTTTGCCAATCCTCTCTCCTATCTGCATTCTCCCTTTCCCTCTTCTCCAACTCCCCAATTCTTTTTCCTCTCTCCTTCCATATTCCCAGTGCTTTCATTGCTACCGTCTTCCCCTACAGTCAATCAGTCAACATTCATTTTGTTGTTATTAAGTCTTATTAGTTGTGTCTGACTCTTTGAACCCCATTTGGGGTTTTCTCGGCAAATATACTGGAGAAGTTTACCATTTCCTTCTCCAGGTCATTTTACAGATAAGGAAACATTTCAATATTCATTAAGTGCCTACTAAGTGCCAGGTACTATGCTAAGTGTTGGAAATTTTAAAAAAAAGCGGGGGGGGGGCAAAAGACAGTCCCTACCCTCAAGGAGCTTATGATATAATGAGATAATTTGTATTCAATCCAAAGAGTCTATTTTCCACCATTTGGGTTCTTCTTTATGAGCCAGAAATCCCTTATTCAGCTCCCATGGTGGGCCCTCGTTCAACTCACTAAGTTCACTGACCTCATCCACTTTGAGCAAACCTTGAATCCATTTGGAAATGATTACCTTTCTGGCCGCAATACCAATAATTCTCACAGTTTTGCCCTCTGATTCCCTTATTCATCCTCTTCGTTCTTCTCTGTTTCAAGTTCTACCCTATAACCAAATACTTGAGCCTGGGCTGGAGAGAAAAGCAAGAGGTTGAACTGATTGCTCTTGAGAGGGCCAACCCAACCCAGGGAGGCACTTCACGGTGTCCTGAGACATCATGATAAAATGATTTACCCAGCCCCCTCCATGCTGAAGCTTGCTCAGGCTTTTCCTTCTCTTGTGCCTCACTTCCTACCCCTACCCCTACCCCCTCATGGATGTGAAGTGGAAAGATCAGTGAGGTCTGGGTTCCAGTCCCCACCATATTGCCTTCTGCCATCTCAATGCACCTTAGGGACCACTGAGCCTTTTCATCTGCCCTTCAGCTTACCCCTCTATATGTTTTGTCTCCCTGTATTGGAATGCAAGCTCCCTGAGAACAGAAAATGTTTCATTTTACTACCCATTTCTCCAGTCTTTGAGGGGGGTATTCATTTTCTCACTAGTCACACATGACATCTAGACCAGATGAAAGTATTACTAACATAATCTCTGGCAAGTTGTTCAACCTCTCTAAGACTCAATTTTCTCACCTGTAAAATAGGGATAATGCCAACCCTTCCCTTCTTCAAATGGGACATTTCTCCTCACCCAGCAGTGTTGCTTATGAACCATTTATGAAAGTTCTTTTAAACTGCAAAGTAGTATACAAGTGAAAAGTATTATTATTGCTACTGTCAAGAGAGAAGATTCCAAAAAGACAGAGGGGAGGGGGGGACGGAGAAAGGGAGGAAACAGTTCATTATTAAGCATCAACTATGTGCCTTCAAGCACTGTGCTGAGCCCTTTACAAATATTATCTCATTGTATCATTACAGAGATCATAGGCACAATGCTTAAGCACAGGGAAGGCAAGGGAGTTCTATCTGCAGCTGCAAGGAGGGAGTGAGCTTAACTTAAGGAACAGATCAAGCCCTAGATTTGTGGTCAAAAGACTGATTCAAATCCCAACTCTGCTACTGACTTCCTGGGTGACTTTAGCCAAAACGACTTAACCTCTGTGAAACTCAGTCTCCTTATCCATAAAACCAAGGAGTTGACCTAGATATTTGGTAAGTTGACTTCTATCTCTAAGCCCCATGATCTAGAAGCCATCATCAGAGGAGAAGGGTTAGAAAAAGATAAGTCAGGCCCATTTTTCTGCCTATGTTTAGGACCATACCAAAACCATTTGAAACCATCCAGGGTTGATTCTCTAGCTTTCCTCAGATATCCACAACAGTGGACAGAGTCTTGGATTCAGAGTCAGCAGTTTTTAGCTCAAATCTGCTCCTTATTACATGTTTAACTTTGGGCAAGTTGTTTTTCTCCTGTAGGCCCAAACTTCCTTCTCTATAAAAGTAAAAGGTTAGGCTAGATGATCTGAAAATTTCATTCCAGTTCTAAAT